TTTAAAATGTTACAGTGGTCTCCAACACACTGTGTGCTGATTTAAAAATCAAAGCATAAACTATCATTACTGTTCAATTTCTTGTCTTAACACAAGAACAAGAAAGCAAGAAGTACAGGTTGGTAACAGTCTATACTCAATTTAATTTTATACAGTAAAACTAGAAATGTGATTTAAGTCAGTTGGACAACGATGCTTGACTCTTCATGCTGGCGAGGATTCAGAAGCCCGTCCTACCGTGTGAGCATTTGCTTGGTTTACTCGATTCATTCCCAGCGCTGTGCTTTTCTGTTCCACAGATCTGCATCTCCAGATGCCCAGAGAAGTTTCTAACCTACGTGGAAATGCAGTTTTTGAGCAAAGAAGACAAAAGCCACTGGGAATACTATCGCCAGTTCTGCAAGGCCACGGCCAGGCCTGCAAAGGTGCGTGTACTCCAACTCTGCAAGGCCATGTCCAGGCCTGAAGAGGTGCGTGTACTCCAGCTCACTCCTGGAAGGAGCTTAGCTGCTATTTCGACCTTCAGTGGAACATTCTAGTTTGCTACTGCAAAAATGTCCAGATCCAGAAAATGAATATTAGTGGTACCATTCCAATAAAACACAAGCACACATGAACACTCAGAAACACATACTGTTCGTGGCGTATCAACACACAGAATATTCAGGGCGTGCACTGTATAGACAGAGGCACATGCCATTCATGACGTACCCCTGTGTACACTTGTTGGGTAGAAAAGACTGTTAAGTGAGCCTAGGTAGCCCTGGCTGAGAGACTTTCTATATCTGAATGGGCTAGAATTTTATGTCATCTAGAATCATCACTATGAAGTCAGACTGCTAGGCGGCTCAGCTGATGAAGGTGCTTGCCGCCGACCTGAATTCCCTCCCCAACACTGACACCAACGTGATAGAAGAAGAAAACAGAAACTGGTGATGGGATTTCCACATGTATGCCTTAGCATGCATGGTGTACACAGTGCACACACACATGCACACACATGCTCACACATGCACACACACATGCTTACACTAAATAAAACAGTGCAATAAACATGTTTAAGCCCACACTTTCCTAGATTTGACATACACGGGAGGTTTCTAAAGCTTTAGTATATTAAATACTATTAATTGCTTATTAATTACAGAAAATGCTGTTTTTTTCCAGAAAAATTTTGAAGGGTCAGAGATCCAGAATGTAAGCTTTTTGTAATATCATGGCATTTTATCTCTGTTGATTCACTCAGAGCATTGAGAGGCATTTTTTCAAAAAGAATTTCTATGTAATAGTCTTATAATTACTGGCAGTGGGGAGACAGTTTGGGAAAATGAGATGTGGAGTTAAGATTTCAAGCTCAAATTTTTGATATTGAGAGTGAAAGTGGTCATTGCCGGCTTTGCACCATTAACCTGCCTGCTTCCCTTCCAGTCTCTCTTAGATCTTCTGTCCCGTGGTGACTGTCCCCCAGCGCTCTATCCCAGCAGACCCTGTGAGTGGTGATTATCTTACCGTTGAAACATGGAATCTACCGAAATGTAACTTAATTGAGTTTCCTCTGTTGCTAAGCTGAGGCCGAGAAAGTCCAGTGCCACCGTGAGAGCCCAGAGTTAGTCATGAGCCATGTCTCTGGCCACAACAGTCCTCACTCCAACTGCAGCATTTCCCCCAGCACTCGGTGAGGTGTGGGGCTTTGCTACATGAGCATGTTAGGAAGCGGAAGGACTGATTTTAAGAAGCCCACCGGTGTGATCTTATGTATCCCTCCAAGCATGTATAGCCCACACAAACAGTCAGGCATACCCACTCCTGAATTCAGCCAAGAACGTTCAGGAGTTTCCCGAGAAGCAGTTTTTAAATTGCATGTTTTGTCTTCATAATTTGACATTTGGAGTTCTTCTGTTTCCCTGATGAATATATATTTGTTTCTTTGCTATTTGAGCACAAACTGATAAGCCATTCAGAAAGCTGAAATAACCTCTCCTCTTCCTTTCTGAAGGATGTAATTCCAACCACAGAGAAAAGCTTCATGTGAGGGTTTTCAACCCAGTGTTCATTCAGACCAAGCCAAAGAACGGTTAATACAGAGCTAAGAAATCAGTCACAGCGGGTGGAGGTGGGGGGACAGGAAGGTTGCAGTATCCAGGGGCAGGCGAACACTGAAATAACCACTGTGTTCACAAGAGGAAATACCTTAGAACTAATAGACAGAGAACAAAGCACACGTGGGTCGATATTCAGTAAAATGCAGACGATTGGAGGCATCATAAGGTCAAGTGTATTGAAATTAAAATAAATCCCAGAAATTATTTAAGAAAAAAAGATCAGAAAGAAACACACCAAAAACATTAAGGAGTTGTTTGCAGAGGGTGTGGGAAGGGAAACAACACGGGGCATTTTCTCTCTCCTGTTTTCTGTCTCGCAATTCTTCCATAATGAGTGTATAGTTCTTCTAAAGCAGGAGAAAGGTAATAGGCACCAATCTAAATAGGAAGTCAAGTATGTTGAATTATTTGTCACAAAATCCACGTGTGGAGTGCCAATCATCTCTCTGTGGTCCATTAAAGACCCCGAGGCAGAGGTGGCTCGGGTGAGAAATAACAACCCTAGAATTCCCTAGGCGCTGGCTGTATGTGGTCAAGAACAGCATAGAAACTTCTTATGGGAAAAGGAAAAATAGCTGTTCTCACAACTAGATTTTGACTAAATCACATGTTTGAAAATATACATTAGGGATATAAAAATACATAATCCATAACCTCTCTTAGTCTAATGAAATAATGAGAGACATTAAGATCAACGTAACAATCAGCTTGTGTTCTCTTAGCAGAGGATCGAGTATATCACTACGAGACACGATGTGCAACTAACAACACATAGTCCTTAAATATTTTATAACAGGGACAGTGAGATTACGTGAGAGGGGACGAAAAAGGAATTCTGTTTCCTGTATTATTTTGGCACCGAAAAAGGGTGTAGAAGAAAGATGAGAAAGAAACGGAACAGCAAAATCATATGGTTCATTGTGGGTATCATTTTGGGACAGTGTATCATTTTGTAATTTTTCTTCTTATTTTCTAAATATATACTGAGCATATTAATTAATGTGACATCAATTAATAGACTGGAAATGATTACCAGAAAGAATCTGTAAAATAAGGCCAGGGGATCTTCTAGGTGAAAACTTACACTTATGGTAGACATAGAAGCAAAGGTTATACTTAGGGTGTATATGGGAACAAAAAGACTAGAAAGAGCGAGAGAGAAGGAATATACTGGCCCTGCTGCGTGCCAAGCGCCCCACTGGAGAAGGATTAGGGTGAGGTCACGTGGGGAGGCAGAAGCAAGGCTCTGACTGGTAGAGAGTGAGCAGAAAGGAGTCCTAGAGGCTGCTGCTCAGATCCCCAGAAGGGAGGTGGAGCAGGAGAAAGATGGGAAGTTATAAAAGAAGTCAGCTCCATCATCAGAAGACAGATAGGCAAGCCAAGGAAAGCTTCATGAGGAAGCTTGTTCCCTATACCAATTGGCTCAGTATTTTAGGTTCAAGCTCTACATATAAATCAGTGATACTACTTACAAGAAAAAATATATAAAAATTATCTATTCATTTCTGATTTCTCTTACCTCTTCATTTAAAATTGGGGCTGGAATACATTAGAATACATTTAGTGCCCAGCTCTACAGTAACCGTTAACGTAGTGTGTTTGTAGAGGCTAAGGATTCTATATAACCAAAACAAGACCATAAATGATTTAACTCTTCTCGGAAATTGCATCAAAGATTGTGGCCCTCCATCAACAGTTTCCATCTTTCAGTAAAATGTAGGTGACTTTGCTGGCAAGGAGGCAGTTATAAGAATTCGTCATTGGAAGTCCCGTCCCCATGGGAGCTGGGAGCCTGAGCTGTTCTTATTCCTCCAGGAAGCATCCACTAAACTCTAGTTTCCAGGGTTTCACTGAGAAAAATATTTTCAAAACAGTCTCTCGTCTATCACAGACTGATCTCAGATAGCCAAGAGTGACCATGAGCTTCTGATCCTCCTGCCTGCACTTCTCAGGTGCTGGGATCACAGGTGTGACCTTCCACATCATCTGGTGTTCAGGACGGAACCCAGAGCTTCACACAGGCTCTGTATTCCTAAGATGCATGCCTGCCCCCATCCAAAGCCTGTTATGTGCCAGTCCTAAACTCCTCTCACCATGCAAGCAGCTTCGCCTTCAAAGCGCGTTCAGCATAAGTGGCCTGAGCCTATGTCCCTTCACCTACACATCTTATTTGTGCAGTATGATGAATCTTTCACGTGTAAAAATATCAACAGGTTGGAGTGTGACTTCATGTTGTGATACTGTTTCCATTTCTGTCTCATGACCACCAGAAAGCCCTGAAGATGTCAATAAAGGGTAGTTAGCTATCTCCACTGAGCGCATTTTATGCCCAGCAAGAACCTGACTGCAGACAACGGGAGGTTTTTAAAGGCTAGACTGGTAAAAAGGTGTTTGCTGTGGTTTTCTTTCTCTTCCACAGTCCTGCAGAGATGCATACCTGACTTCTCAATCATCAATGGAGTCTTAACAGTAGGAAGCAGGATGCAGGTTGAAGATGGAACTGGGAGGATCAGAAATACCGTAGAGCTCAGGGAGGCTGCAGCGTATGTCCATATTTCTGTGTTGTTTCGATGCATCTTGTTATTGTATAAAACATGAGAGTACCACTTGGAGTTACAGGAAATCACTTGCGTAGTATTAAATGAAGTATGCATGCCGCTCTAGATTAGAAAGAATAGTGTCTTTCAGAGTGGTTAACCTTCTGTTAAGCATGAAGATTTGGTGTAGAGAAGGGTGCTGTTGCCAGCTCAGACTCTACAGTCAACTTGAGCACAGTCTGTTTCCTGCTGTCTGTTTGCCTGTGTGTGGCACACAGCAGTCTGAATTGTTGAGAGATACATTTCCTTTGCTATGTGCCCATTCGCATGTGCGCCGACGTGGATGTTCCCCTTTCACTGCTCACTTGCAGAGTTAAAAGCAAAATCAAAGGAATCCTGGAAATTTATTTCCTTTCCTTAAAAGACACTGGGAGTACAGGTGGCACAGCACCCTCCTTCGTATTTAGAATGCCATAGCAATGTAAATGAACCTCAGAAATATGAAGCTGTGTGGAAATCTACAAAATAATGATACACACATGACTCTGCAGACACAAGACACAGAGCGAAAGTCGATGTCCTGTGGCGCACACAGATCACAGTGGTGGGACAGGGGTTACTTTGGAAGAGGGACATGATATGATGGGGGCTGTTCTGTGTGCTCGCCTTGACCACCCACCATGTGGGGCACAATGATCTATGAATACTCTGACCTGAATTCCATGATGCTGTCTGGCTACCGCATGACAGAGATGCAGGAAGAGGGATTAGGATGACATGACGATCAGATCTAGAAACGTTGTAAATTAGAGCCTGTCATTTAAATGGACCTCTTACAGGGGAGCTTCTGCTATACTGAGAGCAGGTAGTGAGAGCTGTGAAAGGATTCCTCCTGCTTTGGATGGCCAACTCCTCTGTATGTGGGACAACAGCTTTGCTTGCAGTCTTCTCGAAATGACATCTGATGGGCTGTTGGAGCTAGTGAAGGGTCACTGCAGCAGACGCTGTCTGAAAGCGTGCTTGAATAGAATCTTGCAAAAATCTTTTTTATTATAAGAATGTTTTTCTAATATTAACCAAAATAATTTACTTTTCCTTCACTGAACTCAGTGGCATCAGTAAAATCTTTGATGCCAGGACAATCGGACTGAAGGTGTTTGAAGACTACGCGACCTCCTGGAAATGGATCCTTGTGTGAGTGAGACTGAGCATGCCCTCCCTGGATGCTCTCTGACGACCTCTAGACTCTTTAACCTCCTTGTTCTTACTAAATGGTCACACGTGGGCTCAGTCCTCAGGGTCAATTTCTTTTTCACATAGGGGTAAGGACAGGGCAGATACATTTGAAAATATACCCACAAGAACATAAGTTTCAAGCTCATATATTAATTCACTAGTAGAACTGTGTACCAAGTCCCTGCCATTGTGTCTGGGGTCCTGTGCTCTGCTCTTTACATTCATAGGGGGTAGTCATGGTTTGAATGCTGTTTTTTCCCTTGTCCCTCCTTTGACTCCAATGAATCAGTTGTGATTTTTACTGTGCTCTTTTCACACATGATAATAATTCCCATTAAAGGCTATTCTGGTTCTGAGAAACTTAAAATGCATACAAAGGTAGAGATTTAAATTTTCAGAGGTAAGATTGGTGTTTTAGAAGGTTGACACGTGGGATGACTGTCCTGACTAAGGTGAGTGTGTCTGGTGTGTACGCCTGTCCTCTCTACCTTTGCACCACTTGGACGGTTGACACGTGGGATGACTGTCCTGACGTAGGCGAGTGTGTCTGGTGTGTACGCCTGTCCTCTCTACCTTTGCACCACTTTCTAGAGCTGAGAAACTTCTGTGTTTCCCTAGTGACCAGAGAATAAAATCAGTGCCCTTTTAGTGACTCCAAGGTGCTTTATAATCACATCAGCACAGCGTCTCAAGCTCACCTGTCTTCCTTGATTAGCCTTACATGTCATTTTATTTTAAAGACAGCTTCCTAGTGGGTGGAGAGATGGCTCAGTGAGTAAGAGCACTTGCTTCTCCCACAGAAACCTACGGTTCTGTTCACATGATGCTCCTAACAGTGGCCTGTATCTACAGCTTCAAGGGATCTCTTCTGGTCTTTATGGGTACCTGTGTGTGTGTGCACGTGTGCGCGCACACACACATACACAAAAGATATAAGTATTTTTCTGTAGTCTATCTATACTGACTTAGATCTCACTGTGTAGTCATGAAGAAAAGTCTTGAACTCCATTCAGTTTCAGCCTTCCAAGTGCTGGAATTACAAGCATGAGAAACACCTGATGATATTGTATTAATTATTTATATATATTTATAATTACATATAATATAATCATAGATGTATATCTGGACTATATAAATATAGATGCAGATAATTATTTAAATAAAATTAATTATGTATAAATAATCTGCCACCCGTCAACTGTCAAATCTTGTGCCTTTGCATCTTCTATGACTTTTTCTACTTTCTCAGAGTCGAGGGTGACTCCACTTTACTTTTTTTTAAGTACTGAGAGATAGCCTGGGACTTTATCTGTGCTCAGCAGGCATCCTTCCACAGAGCTCCATCTCCAACCTCCACACCTCATCCTTTAAAATCAGTTTACTGACACGTATGAAGCTTCTATTATTTTTACTGATAAATGCCTTCCCCTGTTTTCTTCATACCCATTGTCTATGTGTACATATCTCTGTATACACATAGCTACTTATCTTCTATATAAAGTCTTTCATTCCATATTTTATTTATCTGGTTTATTTCTCTGATAAACTGACAGCTCATTTTTTTCTTTTAGTTTTTGGGGAGTGTGTCACTTGCAGCCAAAGTTGGCCTTGAATGTTCTAAGAGCTGAGAAGGTTGTCTTTGAAGTACTAATCTTCCTATCCTGCCTCTTTCATGCTGGAATTAGTAGTATGGACTACAATACCCAGCTAAACTATCAACTCTTGGCATTAGTGATGTGGGCTACCATACCCAGCTAAACTGTCAGCTCCTTAGGATGACAACTATGCCCAAGTCATCTTTATCTCCCTAGGTCACAGTGTAGTTTTAAAAACATAGTAGATGCATAGAGGCAGTTGTAGAAATAAGAGTAGAAGAAGCTGGATACTATGTCTTTAAGCACAGGGAATTTGCTAAATTTAACACTGTATTGGGTGTGTAATAGTTAAAAATAATTTTCTTAAGTTTAGAGCTAGCTCCTTTTGTGAGGTTTTACTGATTCAATGTTCTGCCTGCAATCACTCCATAGTCAAGATTTCAACCTACACTTGACAGTGGTTAAATGGGCTTTCCTACTGTCACACACAAATGTCACCAGGTAATTTCTTTACCTCTCTCTTGGTTTTTGTCCACTAATCCTTGGACACACCTCACCCGATACACACTAACCCTGTGCCCACTTCATACCCCTCCTACCCCTGACCCCTAAGATGTTCCTTCTTTTCCCAGCCTTTCTGCTCCAAAATCACTCATAAAGACCATTTTAAGTATTCCCTTTGGGTCATGCAGTAGAGTAATCTTTCAGCCAGATTTAATGTCAATCATTAAAGTTTCTACAATTTCAAGAGGGAAAGACTTTTGAAGTTCCTTCTCAGGTCGAGAATGCCACACTGTCATATGTTTAGTGACAAACGCTATGAAGGGTCTCTTAAAAGATGACCTTTGAGACTCTTTCCCCCATAAAGACACCAGACTGTCTAACTGGTAGTTTGCAAATTTCACCAAAGGTGTCAGTAGTTAATAGGAGAGTCGGTCAACTTTCCAGTAGTAAAGAATTCTCTTTAAGGAGATTGTGCCAGAAGACTCCATTCTGACCTTAACCTGGGTAGGTCAAGGTCTGTCTCCTCTAGTACCTCAGTCAGGCTCCTGGGAGAAACTAACGCAGATGGAAAATGGTCACGCTTTCTGTGCTTGACACAGCCCAGGAACCAGGAGACTCCTCCTGCCTGCAGGTCATGTACCCAGATCCCTCGGGACTCCAGACAGATGCCGGATGGTGTCAGGCATCTCATACTGCTCAGGATAATTTACACGCGACAGTGACAGCAGGGTCATGAGTTCAGGACCGATGCATCCACTTATTTTTCTCATTTTTCCACCTCACGTTTACTCTGTTACTGGCAAACAGCCGTGTTCTGGGACATCTTCCTTAGTCATCAGATTATCTCAGTTTTGTCATGAATGTTTTTATCACTAAATAGAAGGGTGTGAAGGAAAAAAGCAGAAGTTGGAAAGTGTGACCGCCAGGTCAAAACTGTGAGCCGGGGCACCTGCACTTTACCTTGCATGTGATCTTCCTAGGCTGTGATAGTCCGGTTTCTGGAGACACCCAGGATGTTTCTGGTGTGAAAGATTCACTGGTCACTTTCCTCTTTCATGTGAAATTCTTAGAGAAAACCATTGCTTATACTTCTTAGAATCATACGTGTTGCCCCAGCCAGGTAAAGTGGAATATTCTAGAATGATTTCAAACAGAAAAGGCTCTTACCTTGATGTTGGTCTTATGTTGTACTGAGCACGTCTGACTCTGTTTGTTGTGGGTTTTACCTGCAGTGGCCTGACCTTCGCCATGGCACTGAGTTGGAGTTTTCTGATCCTCCTGAGATACATAGCTGAATTCCTCTTCTGGGTCTTCATGCTTGGCGTGCTTGGAATTATAGGATATGGTAGGTACCACAACTCTTAAAATCTCCAAGTATCAGAATAACTTTCCTTGTCATTAGCAATTATTGGAAAGCATTTGCTTGCCTTAGACTTAGTTAGTTTGGGTCATTAACTTTACAATATTAATTTAATTTCACATCTATTTTCTCCATAACTCGTTCTGTCATTATCTTGAGAAAATCTGCATAAGAAGAATCTACTCCTGTCCCTAGCAGCCTTTGGTCTCAGTCCTGATGGGGATCGGGAGAGCAGAAAAGATCCTGTAAAACAAATGGAGCTTTACACGCAGTTTGTCTTCCCATGACTTGTCTGTCAGTCAGTGGCAGGTCTGCACAGCTGCATGATTTGATCTGCTTTTCTTAGATCTGATCGTACATCTAATCAGGTGCTGGCACACGCTTTAGTGGTCAGCTCCCATAGTGAGGCATCACCCCCTAGAGGCAAGCACACTAAATCACAGTCATTGGACAAAGAGTTCAATTCGATCTCACCAAAAGCGGTGCACATCAGTCCTGACGTGAACACTAAATAAAGGAATTCAAGTGTCTCCCGCTGGGACATTTGTCCTGGGCCTTCTAAACAACAAATGGGACAACATAGAGCAATTTATATTCCAAAGAGTTACTTCCCCCCAGCACTATTTGGATCGGCCACATAGTACACACTGTTTCTGCCGCTTCAACAGGTTTGCACATATAACATAGTAAGGGTGTGTGGCAGGCTCATGTTCAGTACCTGACCTTGGCTATAACTCAGATGCATACTGTATAACTGAGTAACTATGGAAACCATTCTTAAGATTACAAGACCTAATTCCCACATCTGTACCATCAACTAATGATGGCTTCCATCTTAGAAGATAAAAAAAATGGATCTCAGGCTGACAGACTGAGTCTAGACGCAGTAAGTGGTCAGTTAGTGGTTCAGTTATTGTCATTACACTCAAAGAGCCCCGCCCTCCTTGGCATTCTCCCCTTGCCCTGATGTCCTGCTGAGCACAGCCAGGTGAGCAGGGGCCCGTCTGGTAGAGGAACCTGAGAACTACCGTCCCTAATCTTTTCGTGTGTCCTACCTAGATTTGCCGCTGGAGCGCCTAGGTGTGTAATCCACTCTCTCCTTTGGTATCATCAGGGCAGGGAGGGCAATAAAGCCTTCATGGGCTTCACTGACTTGTCTTCAGCAACAAGAGAACCGAGACTGGCTGTGCCAAAGTCCTGATGCTGCAGAGGGAGAGACAGGAACACACACGCGCAAGTAAAGCCATCAGTCCCGGCTGCCTGTTGACTCCCTAGGTAGCGCTAACCCAGCAACTAACTGCATGGCAATTAAGCTTGAAGCCATTTACAGTGAGACAAATGTCCATTTAGGTTGAAAACTGTAAGTAACAGCTGTGCCTGGCCTCTGTGACTGGCTTGGGCCACTGATTATTTACTGTCATGGAAAACCAAGCATTCTTATTGATGGTACCGAATTTACTAAGGCGTAGAATAATGTGGATATGTCACAGTGAGCGGGTTAAAAAGCTAGTGTGTGAGCAATGACAGAAGAGTCTCACCACGATGAGCAGACTGGGGGGCAGTGGAGTCTCATGACCATCCTGTGGTCAGCCTAGGATCCTGAAAGACCCCAGTGCTGTCTATGTTTGGCAGCATATTTTGACTGCCAACAGGGCAAATGCCAATCCTTTGTAGACAAAATCACCCTCAATTTATGAAAGTACTTGACTCAAAATTCAAAATCAACACCACAGGAAGGGGTCAGATATAGATACAGACAGAAGCCATCAGTGTCAGAATAAGATGTGCAATAAATCCAGCTGTAGAAAAAAATGCAAAATCACCATGTGTAAAATGTTTACCAAGTGAAGGATGAAATCACAAAACTAAGACAGCAAGAGAGACACCTGTGCACATGTGAAGATGGACCAAATGGAATTTTCCAGAATAAAAGAATTGTTAGACTAAAAATTAAATCAAAGCCTGGTGACATGGCTCAGTGGATAAATTCTTGCTAGGTAAGCCCGACAACAGAGAAAGAATAAGAATCAGAGAGAATGATGTCATACATCAGTCATATTTGAAAGACCTATCCATATCTGTACCAAGGAGAGTAAAGGAAGAGAAATGCATGTGGTCAGATATTCATTTATGCATGTTCATTGGCCATCAATTGAGCAGTTATGGCACACACTGCACTAGACTCTTAACATGGAACGAATAAGCGAAGGTCTTCACTGGTTTCAAGCTTGCCGTGAAGCACACTGTGTACTGAAGGTTGTGGTTGCTATAGGAGGGACAGGAAGCACAGGAGATGGGCACTGAGTGTGCCATGCAGGCTGAAGAGTGAGCACGGCTGTGTTAGGAGGGATAGGACTGGTGTCGTTCTTGCCGCTTCTGTTGCTGTCGTCTGACAAGGGCTCTGCACTGAGCCCACCCCAGTCCCAAGGTCTTTGTGAGAAGACAGATGTGAAAACACCTGGAGGAAGCAATACCTTGAGGTGGTGGCCAGGGAAAGTTCTAGTCGTGGGTGCAGCTCAAGCAAAGGCCCTGAGGAAACTGCATGCTGAAGGAATGGCTAGGAGGCTGAGTGGATGGAACTAGAAGAAAGAATATAAGTAAATAAAAACAGAACAGAGGTGATCAGGTCAGATTAAAATGTGCACATGCAAGTTGGGACTGTATGTTACTTAAGAACGATACAGAATGTGTAAGGAAACACAACAGTTAAAAGTGGAAGAATTGATTTTTAAAACTAGCAGTTATGAAAAGAAATCTATGGTGGTATAATAATATCAGACAAAATAGAATTTGAAATAAAGCTATTAGGAGCAGGCCCAGCCCAATTCACTAAAACAAAACCAATCCTAAACTTGAATAGATCTATTAAAATACTCTCATGATTCATAGAAGTACACAAGATAAATAAGCCAATAAATAAGATATTAGTACCGAGTATAAATAAGGGGTGCCGGCCCATTTTCCTGCAAGACAGATGTACTGTGGCAATATTAAAACAGTCCTGTTGTGGATGCTAAGGCTGCTATGAGCCAGGGGCCCCACTGAAAGCCACATAAATTCAGAAAACATTTTTGTCAACCAGAGTAGCAGTTGGGCTATTGCAGCCAAGCATGATTCTAACTCTGCAGAAATGGCCATATTGATCATTTTTATGTAGGTATGTATGGTAAGCATGTAGCTTCTACTTCAGAAAATAACACTGGATATTGGTCTTTTCCATCCAAGGCATATGGTACTGTTATCTGGAGTACCATGGCCTCCAGCAGAAACCGCAGTCCAGCATCCTGATATACGACATCGGAGTTCAGACCAGCATAAGCATGTTCTTTCAGCTGAAGCAGACGTGGTTCTCAATGAGTGAGTAGATTAACAACGAAAAAGCCTTGCTTGTGCACGGGGAAGCTGGCGCTCGGTGCACCCTGCTGAACACATGGACCACTCAGGGATGACTGTAGATGTCTATGAGTTATGAGTGGGGAAATTGTGAACATATTGTGTAGCCTAAGACAGCACAGCTTTAGAAGAATTCCAGGCCACTTGCCTTTGATTTGAAATGGTTTGATTATGGGGACTTGATTGATTTTTGTGATCTTACTTTAAAAGAAAGAGGACACTTATTTTACTCGCACAGCAGAAGCTTCCATCTAACTATTGCAGGAATTGTGAGAAATAACTGAGAATAGATTTACATTCTTAACTGTTCACATTATTGAGTTATTTAAGGTTGGCAGTAATTTCTAAAGCAAGATCATCTCAAAGATAGTTTCGGTCCTACGTTTCTATAATTAGAGATTCATGTTCATGGATCTAGGTTTTGACAGTCTCTCATTGAATTCTGTTTTTGAAGTTTTCCCTTCTTTTCATTCATATCGGCCTTGACATGTCAGAGGAGCTCAGTACGGCTGTAGGAAGAAGCGTGTCGGCATTACCTGATCACACGGTTATCCTCACAAGAGCCTAATCTCTGTACATTCCAAACCTGTTTCTGCCTCTTTTCCGAGAAACTCTGGGTATTAAGGGCAGGCGAACTATGTCCCCAAATGACACCCAGCACCATGCAAAGTGGGGATAGACAGAACAGCGGACACAGAAGGGGAGGCAGAGGACCAGGTGACCACAGCTATTCTGAACCAGAAGCATGGAGGCCAGACTGGCCAGAGACCTTGTCTCTGAAAACAGAAACCACAGCACAGAAAGAGAATCCATTTCAGTGTTGAACTGAGATTTTTAACTCCCGTGGGCTGGAAATCACAGCACTCTGCCCCACTGAGGCTGTTAGGTGAAGAAATAGTCTTAAGGAATAAAATGCCTGTGTGTAAAAAAGGACTCTACAGTGGGGACATCTGGGTCCTGTGCTGTGCTTACTCTCTGGGGAATTTCCTAGCTACAAGGAAAGGTGAAAAGTCCAGATAACTTTCCTCCTCCCTGAGGTGGGCGAGCCAGGACCACTTCCTTCTTGTAGAAACCTCCGCACTTGCTCCATTTTTCCTCTTATCTGATAGCCAAATCTGCTTCAGAACTTCTTGAGGCCAAACACTCTTGGTATATCCCCCCCCCCCTAATTCTAACACACGCCTTTATTACAACAGCTTCAGAAAATGCCTGTACGCCCTTAGCAGAAGCGGTCTGCTAAGCTCATCCCGGGGTTTGCAGAATAAGCTTGCTTCTGGTGCCGGCTTGTGCTGCAGACTGACGTCTTTTCTCGTTCAGTGATCATCTTGTCCGTCATCGAGGCCATCATCGTCCTCGTGCTGATCTTCCTCAGGAGTCGGATCCGGGTAGCCCTCGTCATGCTGAAGGAAGGAAGCAAGTAAGGGGCTCAGCCAATGCTAAGGGCAGATGTCAGGCTGGGGGGGAGGGGCTCAGCCATTGCTCAGGGCAGGTGTCAGACTGTGTGTGTGCATAATATGTGTATGCATGGGGTGTTTGTGAAAGTGTGTGTGCACATTAGTGTGGAAGCCAGAAATTGACGTGACTCCACTTTAGTTTTGAGACAGAGTGTCTCCCTGACTCTGGACTGCACGTCTTCATTTAGACTTCCTAGCCAGTGAGCTCCTGCATCCTTCTGCCCCCACCTCCTCGGCATTTGGGATTACAGGTGTGGACCACCACGCCAGCTTTTTGGGTGGGCATCAGGGAGCTATCTCGGGCCCTTGTGCTGCACAGCAAGCCTTCCGCAAATGGGCCATCTTCCCTGCAGTGCCCACACCACCAGGACTTTTTAAGGAAGAAATTGAAGAACATTACGAACGTGTTTACATTCAGATATTTCCACTTACTGGGCAGGTCGAGGTCACCTCCAACAAGTCCTCTCTGTCTCCCATTCCACAGTGCAAACTAAGAATCTATGTAGTTTGTGCACACACACATGTGAACATGTACATGCTAGGAGATGGGGTGGGCGGTGCCATGGGCCCCATTATCCCACGGTGGTGCATATGTTAATATCACCAATTGAGAGAATTTGCAGAAGTCCTAATCGCTGTAATCCCATGATATCAATTGTGTGCTGTGCATTGTGTGTGCATGATACGCTTTCCTAGTGGACAAAGTGCTGATTCTTGAGTGCCTGACTATACATTCTGTATGAGAAACACATAATTCAGGCACACTTAATACCCAGGGCCACTCTCAATTTTAAAATATTACAAAATAAACCATCATTCATAAGATTCAATAATATCTGTAGTCTCCAGACTATTCCAAATGGTCACTTGAGACAGTCCGTGCCGTCAGGCTTTGAGTGCGGAGCAGGGAAAACTGCCCCAGGAAGCCCAGGCCCTCTGCTTACAACAGTGGAAACAAATCTGCTAACCACCTGGGGCAGAATTATTTTTAATTGTCTTTAAGGACTATTTTAACAAAATTGCCATATTATTATAATCAGAGTGCCACCCGAAGCCAGTGGTGTAACAGCTAACAAGCTGCTGGTTAAACTCTCCCCTTGCAATAGAGGAGGCCCTGTCATTACCCCCTGAAACTACTGATTTTCTGGGTGTAGTTTTTAAATGGTACGTTATTGTGTAGTTCACTATAACTCAACGCACATCTCACAACCTTCAATGTCTGAGTGTGTGGAGTGAGCGTGTGTGGTGCGTGTGTGGTGTGTACGTGGGTGTGTGCGGTGTTGAAGGGCCAGCATCACCATGACAGGTTGATAGATTGTCAAAGGGGAAGTAAGGGCCGGAATAAATGGGTCAGAGTTCGGAGTAAACTTTGAATTAACGGCTTAAATTCAGAGTGTGCAGGAGGGGAAGGCAGCAGAGCTCTGGTGTGAGACAGGATAATGAGGGTCATGTGTGCAGGTGCGTTTGGCGCGGGGAGATTTCCTTGGCAATACAGAACAGGAATGTGTTCAATCTGGAGACAGACTGGAGCAGCTTCTTAAAAGCCTCTAGTGACAATCTAGCAAGCTGTCACCTGGTGAAATGTCCTAGGAGGAAGACCCGCTGACCGGGTTCCTATGTGGTGGGAGGTGAGAACACAACCGTCTCTTCCCCCGGAAGTGGTGGGTGTGAGATGCCAAAGGGCAGATGAGGGTGGCCTGTCTGACTCTTCGTAGGATGGCGTGAACCGCAGAGTTCCCTGTGCGGTGCGGTGCCTGCAGCAAAGGCCAGCGCAGTGTGGAACACAGCACAGAGGTTTCTGAATCAGGAAAGGAATCTCACACTGTAGCACAGGGCCCGAAGGTCTTCTCTCACTTTAGGAAGCTAAGAGTCTAAGCAGAGGAAGACATCACTGTGGTCTGTCAAAACCTTGCTGGTCGGTCAGCAGGGAAGGGGACTGGAAGTCTCATGCAGGAAATACCCCTCTTTAAAATGCATGACTGCATGCCAAAGCCAGCTCAGGACTTGCTACGACCACCGCTGAAGAAAATGAGGAAATTATCAGTGACGTTAGCCCCATTACAGGAATCCGATCTAAGGCTTGCGTCCCGTTCTTAACAGACAAACGCTTGGTTATTGAGAGCGTGCAGCTCCGACCCAGATTCCTGCTGAACATCAACTATTTGCTTCATTTCAGGGCCATCAGCTACATCCCCAGCACGCTGTTGTACCCGATTTTAACTTTCATCTTGCTGTCTGTCTGTATTTCCTACTGGGCGGTGACAGCCGTGTATCCTTTGGCCGCTGGCCTCTGCTGTGACCTTTTTACGTTGATGTGTAAAATAATAGATTTCATCATGACATTTACACATATATGTATATATATATATGTATGTATACAAGTGATTGATATATACATATATATATGATTGCCCTTCGCTCATAAGTTCCTCCCACTTCCCTTCCCCGACCCTCCTCCCCTCTCTCCATAATGGATTTCTTTATCTCTTGAGTCTACCTTGCTATTTGAGACCATACTTCACGCCCAGGGTTTTGCATTCCTGTTAAGACAAGGAACAACCTAAAGAAGTAACTGGATTAGGTTCCAAGCCTAAAAATTTGTCGATCAAATTTAATTCCCCCCTAAAGAAGTCACAGAGATCTGATCCGTTCTAATGCTTTTTCTTGGCAATAACTAAGCAGTGTCCTCCACCTCTCACTGGTTCGTCAGGGCCCTATCAGTGCAGCTGGCTCACGATGCCCTAGTATCAGCCTCCTAGGAAGATGATCGTTACAACATGGGAAGAAAGCTCATTCCTCCACAGTCTGCCAATTGTGGTTTTCTTATCTGTTTATTTTTAATTGAGCAATAAACAGTTTATCCTTAATCAAGCTTGTTCAGTTTCTTGGCTACATCAGGGGTACCAATATTCAAAGTTATGGTCCCAGAGGGGAAATGTATCTATGAAGATGAAACTTGTGACCCAGATGTGAGTAAAAGAATTCTGCTATCGCGTGTCATGAAACTGATACAGGGGAGCTTGGTACGGAAAGAAAGGGAGGGTGTCGTCAGGAAAGCATTGTATGTAGCAGGTGGAACAGAGCTCGCTTGTCTGCATTAAATCTAGGAAGCTGCTGCTGTGCCAATGAAAGCACAAATAATGTGTGAAAGTACAGCAGGGAGAGAGATGGGTGCATATGGATTGAAATCAGCCCTTTCCAGAGCTCATTAAGGAATTCTGTCAGGTAGTGTATCAGAGAGTAACAACCAAAAGTAATGAAAAGAGGACAGCCTATCCAGCTGGGAAACCACAAGGAAAGAGAAGACCCACATTTGATGCCATATTCTCGTATCTTCTTCCGAGCACAGATTTTCCCTGAAACTAACGTTCCCAAAGTCTGCCCCGGGGCCTCCTGTAACTTCGCTTCCTACAGTGGAAGGAGTGCGTTTCACAATTACATCATGATCCTCCAGATCTACAACCTCTTTGCCTTCCTCTGGCTTATAAACTTCGTCATTGCGTTGGGTCAGTGCACCCTCGCGGGGGCCTTTGCTTCATACTACTGGGCCATGAGGAAACCCGAGGACATCCCGAAATACCCGCTCTTCGTTGCCTTCGGACGAGCGGTGCGGTAAGCTCAGCACTGAGCTCCACGCTCCTTTCTTCAGCTACAGTTTGTGCTCTGCTGTTCATGCGTGGCGAGTGAATTCAAGTGGAAAGGCGCTAATGAGTTGAAAATATAACTTGAGATTCATAGATGTTCATAGATTCGTAGATGTTCATTGCCTCTAGTTGCACAGCTTTGCAATCCCTGCCCCGGGTCAATGTCCTAAATCCCATAGGTTATAGAGAAAAGACGGATAATTGCTTTCAAACTTTCTGTGGAAAGCTCTATCAGTTTGAATAAGAGATTACAAGAAACCCTGCTTTTCTCCCTTCCTTTTATCCATGAAACCTGTTTAAGAGGCACCTGTGTATACAGAACAACCCTTCATCTTCTGTCCTGCTTGGTCTTCACCTAGATACCACACGGGGTCCCTGGCCTTCGGATCATTGATCCTCTCGTCACTCCAGACGTTCAAAGTCATCATAGAGTACCTGGACAGGCGGCTGAAAAGTAAGCTCACAGAAGTGATCGTAGACTTCCCTGCTAAAAGTGGGGTGGGGTGGGGTGCAGGTGACCCAGTGACTATTGTATGGGGTGGGGTCGGGTGCAGGTGACATGGTGACATTGTGGATCAGGGTGGAGAGGATAGATGTGGTAGAGATTTGAATATTTGGAAACACAGTCCAACAGGACTTGCTAAGGATGGGGTACCAAGATGAGGGGTGGGAGTGGGGGGAGGGGAGAGTGTCCGGGGTCCTCATGGTTGATTTTGTGAGGTCCAGGAGAGGCAAATTTCAAAGAGGAATTGAAGAATTCTGTCTTAACATATTACTGCGGAGGAATATGTAAGATGTCACAGGGGCAGTTCCGTATGTGCCAGGCTTAAGACACTGTGAGCCCTGACATCGCTCTTCATACACAGCACACGCAGTCAGCACACACAGGCTCTGCTCACACTGTCTTCATACACAGCATATGCAGTCTGCACACACACAGGCTCTGCTCACACTGTGTCTTCATGCACAGCACACGCAGTCTGCACACACACAGGCTCTGCTCACACTGTGTCATTTCACACACAGCACATGCAGTCTGCACACATACAGGCTCTGCTCACACTGTCTTCATACACAGCACACGCAGTCTGCACACATACAGGCTCTGCTCACACTGTCTTCATACACAGCACACGCAATCTGCAGACACACAGGCTCTGCTCACGCTGCATCATAAAAGATAATGAAGTGGGGAAAAAAGTTGGCGCTTTTATTTTCTGATTGAATTTCCTGATTTTAGATAGAATGATAACATTAAAACAGGGTGGTTTGGCAATCAAGTGAACACATAGACCTGGAATAACATGAGAATCCTACACATAAATTCTCACATTTAAAACTCTTTGATAGGGAAAGACTAGTCAGTCTAAAGGAGATAGAAAAAATGGAGTGCCCAAATGTGAATACATAAAGTATTTACAGTAAATACATAATTAGCCCAAAACACATCAAAGATCTAAACAAGGGATAGTGCTATAAAATACTTTTCGAAAAAGAGACTCTTTATGTCATTCTATTTGATGGCCATTTCTTGATTTCACACCAAAAGCACAAGGAAAGAGAAAGAAAATTGGACTTCATGAAATTTAAAAACACTTGTGCATCAAAGGAACGGCAGAGTAAAGAGACAACCTGCACAGTAGAGGAAAATCATTACAAATAATATGCCAGGTAATTAAAGGATACATGTCCAGAACACATGCAGAACTCCTATCACTTGACAGCAAGCAGTGAAAGTCCAAAGGTGGCCCAAGGAGTTGAGAAGACCTCCCCTATAGACAAGCACACTCAATTAAGACTGTAAGGACACACAGTCATTATACATGGACGTACAAACCAAACCACATCCTGATGCCGCCTCACACCCATCAGGATGGCCACCAGAACAACCGCAACAAGCCAGCCATGAATAGTGCAGTGTGGGGTAGAGAAGCTGGGCCCTTCCATACAAATGCTTCACAGTACAGCCACCACGGAAACAGCTGCAGTCTGTAGAGTGCTAAAAACGCAATTTCATAGAAACTCAGAAAACGACTCCTACATTGCTCCCCAGTATCCGTGATAACAGTATCTACCACAGCCAAAGGATGTGACCCACTCACGTGTCTGCTAATAACGGGCAGGGTAAGGAGTGCATTCCACCTCCGGTACAATGTTAGTGCACAGAAGGAAATAAAGGGGCCGATTCTGAAGGGACTGTGCTAAGTGAGAGAAGCCAGATTTAAAAAATCCTCTTTGTATCATCCTACTTAGAATTCCTAGAAGAGGCAGCCCTCTGCCAGCAAGTAAAATATGAGCCAGGGGGAGCAAGTGGAAGAGAACGGAGAAGGGTGGCTTTTGATTGGCCATTGATTTCTATTTGATTTAACAAGAACTTCTGAAAATGGATAGTGAGATTATTTTATGACACTTAAAGGTGCTAAAGCCACTGAATTATATACCGAAGAACGGCTAAAATGTCATCTAGGAATACATCAGAGGAAAAAATTCCCGCCTTGTTTCTAGTGTCCTCCTTTTGGGTCTGAAGGCTGAGGGTCGCTAACAGACTCATACACCCCTCCACAGAGGCACAGAACAGCGTTGCCAGGTTCCTCCAGTGCTGCCTGCGGTGCTGTTTCTGGTGTTTGGAGAAGATGGTGAAGTTTTTAAACAGAAATGCCTATATCATGGTAAGTAGGCCACTGCTTGTCTATGGTGCCCTTTCTTTGCCCAGCTGACCCCATGTCTGCCCTACTGCCTGGAGAGCATTCTAGTATCTTGTGATTGACTTTGTTCCTGGGATAAGTGGGTGTGTGATCCCACGCATGAATCGGGGCTACACTTTTTCCTGAGATGTTACTACCTTTGATATCTCATTTAAGGGGAAATATTTGTGCTGAAATTTTCAAAGTGTGCTAGAGACCCAGAGAGATGGCTCTGAAGGTAAAGGTGCTGGCTGCCGATCCTGACAAGCCAAGCTAGCCCTAGGTTCCACAGGGTGGAAGGAGAAAATCAAATCCTGCAATGACTTCTACAGGCAAACTGTCAAGTGAGCATACACACATACACACTTGCACAAATGCACACACTCATGCATACACGTGGGCGCACACACAAATAAATGTAATTAGACTTTAAAATGATAAAAAATGAAAGTGTGGTAAATTGAAACAGTGCTGTATGTCCAAAAATTATATAAGAAGGAAGCTGTTGTCCCTTGGTCCTTCTGAGAAGAAACCGCTTTTCTAATAGAGGGATTTACATAATTTTAGAGAAGGGATTAATTGTTTTTAACGAACTTTGTGTTCAAGAAGAGTGAACAGAGGTAAGGCTTGGGCAAATCTCTAACTCATTTCCTGTGAGAATGTGCAAGCCTCTACGGAATTGTTTTGTTTACACAGTAGACTCAGGAAACACAACTCCCTCAAAATGCGGAAACTGCACTATTTTTACCATGTTTGCTTATTATCACAGTGTGGTGGGGACTGGGGCTGGATTCATATGGTCATGGATCGAGATGCAATTAATTTACCTATATTGAGAGATCATACTGAGCCTTTTAATCAGTAAATTCTCATAGTAAAAGGTATTGGCTTTCCTTTGGAGTAATTTATTTTGATGACAATATTCAATGTATTTAGTAACTACTACAGTCAAATGTTTCAAAGATAGACTCCCTCATCTGAGACTTGAGGAAAAGGCCTGCCCTACATACAATACTTGGCAAACCCGTTAGTGTCAATGACCCTGAGAGTTATGTGGGATCAAGGACAGAGAGCTCCTAGGCATCCTACTAACCTAAATGTTGGAAAGAAGACAGGACTGTTAGTGTGGAAGATGGCGGAAACTGGAATGTCCTGGGTATTATTTGCTTATGCCACTAACAAGAGTGTCAATCCAATCTTCTTCTTCAGATCGCATTATATGGCAAAAATTTCTGTGAGTCAACAAAAAATGCTTTCTATCTGCTCATGAGAAACATTTTGAAGTAAGTAATCAGACTGAGGATGACCATAGACAATCTGGTGAGACTTGATGTTCTTCGCTTGTAGTTACCTGGGGTGTTGCTGGCCTTAGCAGCCATGGAGTTTGATAGATTTTAATCAACAGTTCCCTTCATCCACCCAAGTGGCTACATATTTAATTTTTATTGTCCTTTCTGCTCAAGAAATTCTCCAGGTGACTTCCTTTAGCCTCTCTTTGGTGCCCATTTTCTCCTCTCAAAATTGTTGAGAAATGGGTGTGCAGAGTCAGAGAATAAATTTACCATACTCAGGATCCAGAGTGCCTTCGCTAATCCCACCAGATGACAGTAAAGACCACTACCCAAGTTCTTTGATCAAATTAACAAGCTCTGTGTTCTAACAAACAGGGCTATCTTCCTAAAGTGGGGTTTGAGAAAATAGCATCAAACACAGGAGAAGGTGGGGTTTCTATAGTTTTAAAAAGCTGCAAGACTAGGGGTTTTCAAGGTTTGGGGGATTTCCAGAGGAATCTCTGTAATGGTTACATAGGAACTTGGCTGAACATTTCAAAGTTATTTGGCAGAACATCTTATCAGGGTGTTGGGAGCATGTCAAATTCCAGAAATAGGTTAAAGCAAAATCAACTTGAATTTTGCAGCAAACAGAAACGGACTTGTTCTGACCTTACAACAAAATGGCTTCCATCCTTAAGATGGAGTCAAGCTGGTCCATCACCTAGGGAATAGAGAGCGAACCAGGCACTTTCGTTGTCATCCTCCCACAGGGACATCATTCCAGGGTCCTCATCTGCGAGTCTCGCTAGAAATAAGAAGCTCATGCCTGGCTCCCATGCTCCTGTCTTGCATTTAACAATTGCCAAATAAAATTTCACCAAATACACAGGAGAGTGACCCATGACTCTCTACCTTGTGTAGATTTCAAATACCAAGTATATTCAAACACTGAATTATACTTTCTTGTTTCCCCCTGACGCTCAGAGTCGCAGTTACAGACGAAGTCACACACTTTGTATTACTCCTGGGGAAAATTCTAGTGTCTGGGATTGTAGGTGAGTAGTGATAACAACATGGATTCAAAGCTGTAAGGAGTTTGGAGACTGCTGTGCCACAAACATCCGGATAGCCTTTCTCGGTGTATGATATCCATGTCCTGTTTTTTTTCATGTAGGTATCCTGGCCTTCCTACTCTTCACAGACAGGCTGCAAAGGATTGTAGAAGGACCGACAACTTTAAATTACTACTGGGTACCTTTTCTGGTAAGAACTGGTGACTTAGTCACTTGGGGACACTGTAACAAAAACAACATGGGGTGATGACTTTGGCCATAGAAATCTGTTCCTCACCATTTGAAAGGCTTGGCGATGACAGCTGGGGAAGAGATTGATTCTTCACATCACATGCTGGAGAGAAAGGTGGCACAATCCCTATATAAAGGTATTCCCACTGTGACCTCAGTGCTTCCCATAGCTCTTCCCATAGCCTTTCTCTTCAGTTCCACCACGTTGGGGATTGTAGTTTTAATGTAAGATACAGGGAGCAGTTCAGTCTACGAAGCTTAGCATCAGTGACACCATGATTTATTAAGAGATGGAAGCATAAGAAAAGCAAAAGGAAACAGAAACAGCAAAGACAGCAAGTATTACTGGCCTTAATCTGTGTCGCTTGTCTCCTGCTTCTGATGTTGGCTTCCTTGACTGCTCTGTTGATAGGGCTGCCTGCAGGAGGTTTGCTGGGTGCTCTTCCATGAGCTACATTCATAAGGAGGTAAAGAGGACTAGGCGGAGCAAGAGAAGCCAGCCCATAACACACTTAATGTGTATCCCCAGATATAGTGACAGGACCTTCTGGAGAAGAAGCTGGCCTTGTGAATCATGCCGGCAACTGTCAGCCAGGAGCTGATTCCCCACATGCGGCTCTAACTTGGACGAAGCGGTTCCCTGAAGGGAGTGGATGTCTATGCAGCGAAGCATCTGAGTCTTCTCTGCAGCTGACATTCCCAGTCACTGAGGATGAGTGGATGGACAGCTCGGCCGAGAGCCGAGTGGAGTCCTGCTAGACCCAGCCCAATGAGCTAGCTCTTCTAATCTGTATGACATAAATGCTTTTCCCTGAGGTCAGGGCAGAGGCGCAGAGAGGCCGAGTAACTTGGGGACCTAGGTAGCATATGCTCTTAACCTCTAGACTCTCCTGCCTTGATGCAGGGACTCAAAACTGAGAATCTTTGGGTCGGCACTAGGAATATCAGTGGTCATGTGAGCAAGGACATGTTTTTGTAATCTCAGGACATCATGTTACCATAAAGTCAAAGGTGCCTATATTGCAGATGTTCCCAACACAGAGTATGCCAATGTTTGCTTATTCTGCCTTCCATTTGCATTTGCCTTATTATTGCTCTGAGCCAAGTCAGTATGAACAAAGTCTAATGTGCTGGACCTCTTCTCTGTCTGTTCACAGACTCTGGTGGTTGGATCTTACCTGATTGCTCATGGGTGCTTCAGCGTCTACTCAATGTGTGTTGAAACCATTTTCATCTGCTTCTGTGAGTATCCAGCGTGTATGTTTGTCCTGTGGAAAACAAAAAGATGAGAAGGTGAAAACTCAGTTGCCTACCTGGCTTGGTGATTTGCTTTACCTAGCCTCAAATGCACAGCAGCATTTATTTGGGAGGAGATATTACTTGTAGATGCTTGTTAGTTCTGTTGTGGGGGATGGGAGAAAGAGAGAGAAGAGGGGGAGTGAGAGAAGTGTGCATGATGATGGTGGTGGTGATGGTGGTGGAGGTAGAGGTGGTGGTGATGGGGATGGTGGAGGTGATGATGGTGGAGGTGGTGGTGTTGGTGGTGATAGTGGTGATGGTGGTGGTGGTGGTGATAGTGGTGATGGTGGTGGTGGTGGTGGTGGTGGTGATGGTGATGGTGGTGGTGATGGTGATGGTGGTGGTGGTGGTGGTGGTGATGGTGGTGGTGGGGATGGTGATGGTGATGGTGGAGGTGGTGGTGGTGGTGGTGGTGGTTCTGGGAATTGAACCTAAGGCCTTGCCCCTGGTGGGAGTGGACTCTAAGCTCGATTGCTATTTTCATCTGATCTTCCCTCCTTGTATCTCTAGCAAACCAGGAGGTAGGGTCGAGATGTAAGAGAACAGAACCCAGCAGCCATGTTATGGCTGAGAGATAATTTCTCTGTCACATGGGATTTTCGGAGAGGCAGGCAGAGGAAGCTTCCTGAGAAAATGCCTTGTGGAAGACTGTTGGTTTTAAGGCAGGTCAGGAAGAAAGATAGTTGCTGAAGGAAAAAAAGTCTAGAAAATAGCATAATCTGATGTTTTCTAAGCATTTGAGAATCAATTTTCAATAAACAAAGAAATATGAAAATGTTATTTGCTAGATAGCTTGTCTGGCTTACAAGGAACTGTAAAGGATAATCTTGGCCTAGGGTCTGTGATTTATTTAAGAAAATGGAAAAAAAAACTGAAAAGATGGCTGATCTGGTAAATTCCCTTGTTACCACACTTGGTGACCTGAATTCTAGACTCACGGTCTTAGCCAGGGCTTCTGTAGCTGTGCAGAGACACCAGGCCCACAGCAGCTCTTAGAAAGGAAACATTTAGCTGGAGCTGGCTTACAGTCCGTTGTCATCATGGTGAACTTGGCAGCACACAGGCAGACATGGTGCTGGAGAAGGAGCTGAGAATTCTGCATCCTGATCCACAGCAGCAGAAGGAGACTGCGTCCCACACTGGGCGTAGTGTGACTATCGAGGTCTCATTCGAACCACCGCTCCCGTGGAAGGAGAGAGCTGACTGTTGCAAGTGGTCCCCTCCCCTTCATACATGAACCGTAGCCCATGCGCACACACACACACACACACACACACACACACACACACACACAAATGTATGCGTTTAATAAGAAGACTAAAGGAAAAGGGAGCTGGGCTGGTTCCCATGGTTAGGAACGTATACTTTTGCAGAAGGCTGGAGTTAGATTTTCAGTGACTCCCAGCTCCCATGAAGGGTGATTTATGTCCTCCTATAACTAGATCTCCATGGCGACCTCTGGCCTCTGGACACTTGCAGTTATGTGCATGTATCCACCCCCCCCCCCCCCAACACACACACACCAGTAAAATAACTTTAATGATTTTAGGACTGAGGAAATGGTTCAGGTAACAAAGTGTTTGCCACATAAGCATGTTCGGTCTCCAGAACCTATGTAAGAAGTTGGGAATCGTGGTGCCTGCTGTGATCCTGGCACTGGAGAGGCAGAGCAGTGGACCCCTGGAGCTTACTTGTCAGTCAGCCTAGCCTACTTGGTGAGCCCCAGTCTGTGTGCAACATCATCTATCTCAGAAAGGAAAGTGGACAGACAGCTCCTGAGGAGTGAGCGATATTCGAGGATGACCTCCGGTTCTCATGTGCGTGTACATGCATGTATATGGACCCACACATACATGTGCACCCACACAAACACGCTCCCCACACAAAAAAGTAAAATAGTTTAGCCTTTAACCCCGTGCTGGGGAGACTAAAGCAAAAGGGCTGCCAATGCCAGGCCAGCCTGGGCTGGATAGCAAGGCCTATTCTCAAAGTAAAAAAGTTTGAGCTATGAAATTAAATCTTTGCTTTACATTTTCCATGGAGTCAGTGATGTGTAGCAGCTCATTACCTTCTGAAATGAGCAGTCACAGAGCTGAAAGGTGACACTTTAGAAGCCCCAGGAAGAGCTTCCTTATAAACATGGAGATAAAGATCCCAGGGCCCAAGGGCTCGGTTGGAGGCACACCCAGGGGCAGAGGCCAGTTCACACCTTCTCCACCACCAGCATTGCCTCCGGTTTCCTCTATTTGACGTGCTAACACTGATTTCTCTGGTTTCTCCCTGTTCAACTCTCCAAATTGTAACCCTCTGGGTCCCTGTTGTGCTGTGGCTCCTAACACACAGGTGAAGATGTGGAGAGAAACGACGGCTCTGCAGAGAAACCTTACTTTATAACCCCCAGCCTGCACAGGATTCTCACCAAGAAGCGCCCAGGTCCCCAGAGACAGACAGAGTAGAAAAGCTCCAGGCAGGAGCTCTGTGAATTAGGTTGATTGCAATGTGAAAACGTTGCTTTGGAGCAGGGTGCAAACTCCGCGCTGTTTCTAAAAAGGCTGCAATTGGTACCACTTGGGAGGAGCAGGCGTTGGACAGTGGCCTCACTTTCTTTCTAGACTGTGGTCCCAACTGCAGAAACTGCAGCTGACAATGTTTTACTAACTTTTATAACTTTGCTAGCCTTTCGTTTTTATAAGTGTATATTTGTAAAGGATATTCAGGCAGGTTTTTTTTTAAACAAGACTATAAATATGTGATTGATTAGCCATAAACTTACAGAGTTGTAGTTGACCAACGTATGGTACTAAATTTGTAAGTATGGTGCTATGGTTATAGTTACTGCTTAAGCTGAGCAACAGCTCTCTAAACTGTGATTCAACTCGTAACCCTGGTTCCCTAGAAAGCATATTTCAATCTGGTGAGTCCGTCCACGACAAGCATGTGAAGCGCAGGTCCCATAGGTTCCGTGGCTAGCATCGCTGCAGGTGACGTGAACCTGTGGCCCTGTGGTCCATCTGTTTCAGAGACATGAGACTCCTACTGGGGTCCAATCTGGTTTGTGGATATCGTTTCCTTTACTATCAGCCTTTGGCCACCCTGAGAATATTCTGAAAGAGCAGAAATGGCTACCTCGTTCATCTCTTGCCTTTTGCCCGAGTTTCCTGTTCCAGTCATGTAGAAAGCCTTTGGACTCTCCTCATCACGGGAACATGCCTGTGTTCTTGTGACTTCTGCAGGTCTGAGTTCCGCTTTCAGTGAGGGAAGCACGCTGCTGGTCCCTTCAGATTTTAGTCTGTCAAGTACCGCATCTGATACTTTCAAGGGTGTGCTTGGTTCAAACTGGAAAATCTTCTCCCCACACCACACCCCCAGGGCTTAGGGAGGAAGCTGGTTTCTTGTGGCCGTACCTAAATGTCACAGGTGAACTGGACCCATACACCTGTCTGCTCTTTCCCGTGTGTGGAGGGGACCAGTGGGCCACATGGCTAATTAAAGCCCCTCCAAAGAGCATAGGACTAATCAGTGCCATTTTGGTTTTGATGCTAAACTCATGTCAGATTGTCTGTATATTAATAATGAAATGTGTGGATATCAATATGGCCCTCACATTTGAGAGTCGGAAATATATCCTGGAGTTATAAGTTAATATAAGCGCTAATTTATTTAATAATCCTGAAGTGTGTGGACCTAGATTTAGAACAGTTTTATGGAGACTTCCTACAGACAGTCAATTGTTCCAGAAGGTTTTCAGTGTGTCATCCAAATGTCACTTGGAAAAGAGCCTTCTTTCCTTCCTTGAAAAGGAAGAGAAAAGTGATCGCTTATCTTTTTCTTGAATTTTAGTAGTATTTTGTTTTCCACCATGCAAGAACCTCAACAAAGGTGTTTAGGAATGTAATATTTACCAGTGAAGCTGCAGCCGCAGGTGTCTCTTGTCTGGATGTGGGCGTCTCTGGATCGTAATAAGATACTTCAGTTGATCCAGCTACACACACAAATTAGCGATCGATCAGATGCGAGAAACTAGCCGTTGTTTTGCTGTGTTGTGGTGTATTCCCCAGAAACATAGTCTCTGTTTATTACTACTGTACTTAAAATGCGTAGCGTAAAAATGAATGTTGTTTCTGAGAAGAATTTTAGAAGCCATTTTCTTATACAGCAATTAAAGTTTTTAAAACAAAGAGCAATATTTTCAGAACTGTCCGTGGAAGGTTTTGAAATTAATTGTAAAGACCACTTTGTCAAGGTTTTACATTCTAAGTTGTCATTGGCAAAACAAAGGCAATTTGGAAACATATTGTAATTTAGAAAGTAAATTTGGGTGGGGAGTAAACGTGGTTTCCTCAGTCATTCCATGGAAAGGCTTGAACTTTCGCCAGAACTGACCTGGGACACGGAATGAAATGATACCTTATCGATGTATTAACAAGGGCTGATTGTTCTCCATAGCTGTTTACAATGATGCTGATGGCGTCTTAAAAAAGCGATGTTTGGCGTTGTGCAGCGGGTGGGCAGCAGGTGGCGATGTTGCTCCTCCCACCGTTTTGCTGCGCTCTTGACGCTCTGCCCTCCTCCCTCCTAGTGGAAGACTTAGAAAGAAACGAAGGCTCTCCTTCCAGACCCTATTTCGTGACTCCGTCCCTAATGAAACTTTTGATGGAGCACAAAACGGATAAGAAGCAGTAGGAGTCAGCTGGGCGCCCCGCCTCCTGTGTCACCTCCTGCTCTGCTGGGTCCGTCCGACACTCCTTGCACAGTTCTTTGGTCGTCCGGGACTTCCGTATCCACGGCCTTGCTGCTTGCGTTCGCATCTTATACCAAAGCCCACACTGTAACCTGTGAAGCCATCAGAAGTCGCAAGGAGATTGTTAATAACATACAACATTTTTATGCTAAGATCTTTCGTTTTGTATTTTTTTTAACATAAAGAGGCTTGGATGTTTGGGAAAATATATTGGGTACATTCATATTGTTTTCAGTATTAACTTAATGGCGTATACATGATTTAAATCAATAGATCCTAATAAATTTTTTAAGATGACAACTGAAAAGACTTCTGCAGGGAAAAATTGATAATTAAAGCAAGATAAATGTTTTTCTGTCCCTTCCCCACCCCTGTTTGAGAGTCAACCAATTAACCACCCGCCTCAATTTTTGCCTAAGTAGAGAATGCGTCCTGTGAGAGCTGCCAGTCAGCCATCCGCCCTAACCACTCCGTTCTCTCGCAAGTGCCTTCCTGGCTGGTCAGTACTTCCCGGATCTTGTGGGCAAGTGTACAGGCCTTGTTCGAAGAAATCAAACCCTGCAGTGTCGAGCGATGAAAGGTCTTCTCACGTTTTCAGTTTGTTGTGTTCTGTTTTGTTTCCATCTCGCTCACTGACTGGAAACCTCTGGTCATTTCACTCCTGATAATCCTCACCTCCAGAGGACTCAAACAATTCCCCTTGCGCCTCGTGGATATTCACAAATGTGTGCTACACGCAAGCAAAACAACCCGAAAGAAAATCTGTTGACTTTGTCTTTGTTTATAACTGAAGGAAGTTTTAAAGTAAAATCTTTTCTACAGGAGTTCCTGAAAAATACGGTAGGTCGGCCCCTGTACATCTAGTGTCTTACCTGTCCCCAAGGGCAGCTTGTGGGAGTTACACGGGGATGCTTGCCCTCAGAGGGTGGCAACAGGCGCGCCCGGTGCTGAAGAGCTCCATTACACTTGACTGTTTCGTGAGAGCCTGTTTTGTATGTCACTCCACTTTTTATGAAACAACCTGTTTACCTGTCGATTTTTTTATTGTGACAATAGAAGTCTTTGATTCAGTTTTAAATAATGCTATGAGGAGTGCTTTTAGGAGAGCCAACTCCGTTTAACCCAACTCAGACTTACAGCAAGTCAGCCACGTGGTGGACATTAGTGAGTCGATCAATAATAACTTAGTATCATTTATCAATGACATGTTTGTTGGAAGGTCACTTTAGATACTTTTATACCAAAAAGTTCCCACTAGCGCCTTGCGGTGTGGGCTCACCACCCCTCCCGCCCCACGCCTGGTGGTTTGGGCTCTCCTGAGCCCATGGCGGCGTGGGTTATATAATCACTGTGTCTCTGCTATGCAGGAACACTGAAACTGTATGCTCTAAATACCTTTGATAGCTAAAATGGTTAATATTTAATGAAATTTGTTGTTGCTCATTGTATATTTGGGTTTTTTCTTCTAATAAAGATTTCGATACCAGACTGATAAAAAAAAAAGACTGCCCTTTGATTTCTTTAAGCTAGAAAAGAGCATTTGTGTATGTGTGTCGGGGGGGGGGACTTGTACATGTGTGGATTTGTGTATGAAGAACAGAAGACAGTTTGGGTGTCATTCTTCCTCAGGCACCATTAATAGTAGGTTATTTTGTTTTGGTTTGGTTGTTTGGAAGTTTTTTGTTTTTATTTATTTATTTATTTATTCATTAAGGGGCTGTGGGATTGTGGGATTGTCATTGCCTTGCTGTTTGTAGATTAGGCCATGTTGACTGGCCAGCCAGCTCCAGGGATCTTCCTCTTTCTACCTCCCCAGTGCTGGAGTACAAACAAGGCCAGCCTACCTGATTACGACTTTGGTCTTATTTTTAACTTGTGGAGATTCAATTCACACTTAGGCAGCAGACACGGTACTGAGTTCCGCCCCCTGCCCCCAGCTTTGGTTTTAGGTCCACCACACAGCAATATTACCTTCTCTGTACCAACTCTCAAGGTCTTTAATGTCTAGATTTAGTTTAAAATTTTCTGTAACCATGTATTGCTGAGTGAAATCAAATAAAATTATATAAGTAAGTCTAAGAAAGACAGTAAAGAAAGGACTGGAGAGGAGCATGGTCCTTATTTTAATCTGACAGTCTGATCATTTCCTTGCGTGGTCTCATTAACATACACAAGGAGGAACTAACACGTCCACAGTGAGGATAAATGTAGAATAGAAAGTGGATACTCACAGTAGATTTCTGAACAAGATTGCGTGTACCTCGGGCTAGTCTATGCTAAGCTGAAACAGCATCATTTGATGGGTTCAGTTGTGTGACAAGCCTTCAAAATTAATTTCCTTTTAAAATTTAGTGAGTTTCTTCCAAAGGTAAATTAAAACACTAGTCTTACCTTCTCAACATTCTTTTAAAATGTTATAAATCTAATGAGAGATTTGTTGACATAGATGGTGATTTTTTTAAAAAAAAAGTTTGAAATAAAAATGTAGGCTGGATTTTTCAGAAGAAATCTAAGTTTGGGTTCAGTACTAGTAACTCCTATTCTTAGTTGATAAGACATTGATATTTGTAAATAAATTGTATGAATTTGGTCTGTGATTGATTTGGCTTTCCTATCCATCCAAAAAGCTTAAGAGAGAAAGAGTTCATCCATATAGTTCATTCAGATAGTAAAATCATACAATGGAAAGTTCTAGAATCATCTGGGATAACACGGCTCATTTAAACTGGTATTAGACAACAACTCTATGCAACTGGTCCTTATTTCCCCTTTCATGTATGGTCAGCCAGCCCTCATTCCACTGTCTGTTTTTTGCTCTTATAATGGAGACTATGGTGGTTTAAAAGGAAATGGCCCCCAAAGGGAGTGGCACTATTAGGAAGTGCCCCCTTGTTGGAGGAAGTGTGTCACTGTGGGGGTGGTCTTTGAGGTCTCTTTTGCTCAAGCTTCCCTCAGTGTGACTATCAGTTGACTTCCTGTTGCCTGCAAGATGTAGGACTTTCAGCTCCTCCAGCACCACGTCTGCCATGCTCCCCATCATAATGATAATGAACCTCTGAAACTGTAAGCTGTCTCTTCAGCTAAGTGTTTTCTTTATAAGAGTTGCTGTGATCACGTGTCTCTTCATAACAACAGTAAACCCTAACTGCCACAGAAGGTGATACCAGGAAGTTGAACTAAATGCATTTTGCATTACATTGTTATAAGCCTTTGGGGGCCAGGGAGTGGAATGTTTGAAAGAAAATGTCCCCCAAAGGGAGAAGGGCTATTAGGAGGTATGACCTTGTTAGAGGAAGTCTGTCACTGGGGGGCAGGCTTTGAGGTCACTTTTGCTTAAGCTTCCCGAAGTGTGACAAGGTGTAGGACACGTGGTTATTTCTCTAGCACCATGTCTGCCTGTGCACCACCGTGCTCCCTACCATGATGATCATGGACTGAACCTCTGAACTGTGAGTGAGCCAATCCAATTAAATGTTTTCTTTATTAAGTGTTGCCTTGGTCATGGTGTCTTCCACAGCAACCATAACCCTCACTAGGACAGAGCCTTGGGAAATTGTTCTTAAATCCTAACCAGGTGGGGTGATTAGCTCCATTTTCTGCTTCTGGATTGAAGAGCATGTTTTATAGATTAGTCTTGCTTGGAATAAGATATGGGAACAGAATTGAACCAAAATCATTGCTGCAGTCTGGTATACCTTAACCTGTTTCCCAGTTTCTTGCAAATATTATCCCTCCATGTCTGTGCTTTTCAATTATAGTTGTAGGGTTACAATGATACAATGTAATAAGCTGTTAGTTAAAATATATGATCAATATCTTGGATGCATTGAAATGCACAGCTTTCTGTCTTACAATCTAATTTCCATCATGCTGATTTAGTTAGGAAGAGAATTATATATAAAATGTATCAGGAATAAATTATTTATTCAAAAATTATTTTCCATATATGTTTTTAATCTTGGAGTTGAAATGGAGATTGCAGACTTTCCTCTCAGGATCCAGCTGAGTTGCTGGGGAGCCTCCATGAATCAGCAGCCCCATTAAGACAAAGGCAAATCCATTCACTCAGACTTAGTTGTACCACCTGATATCGGGTAACTGGATAAAGTCACAGATAAATGCCTCTCTCAGGACTGACCAAGCCACTGTGAGGCAGTCCATCCCCCACTGGCAACCTCCCAGTTGCTTAGGAGATAGTCAGGGCAGCTGAGAAGCCGGCAGTAGCTTCCATCATGGTTTCTCTACAGGGAGAATGCGGGCTGTTCCATTTACAAGCAGCCAATTAGATTTTATGAGGTGAAGTCACCAAATTTTTTAAATTTAACTCTGGCTCTTTTTCTTATATACTTACTGCATGCATCACAACAATTTAAACAAGTGAGGGAATTGGGAAAGCCCTTGCTGTTCTGGCAAGATGGCTCAGCAGGGGGTGGGAGGTTGGCACTTGCTGGTCAAGCCTGGAGGCATGAGTGTGATCCTGGAACCCATTAGAAGTGGAGGGAGATAACAGACTTGCAAAGTCTCTCTCTCTCTCTCTCTCTCTCTCTCTCACACACACACACACACACACACACACACACACGGATGGTGTGGGAAAATTGTCTGTATTCTGTCAATCATGTATTTTAATAAAATGCTGATTGGCCAGGCAGAAAGTATAGGTGGGTCAACCAGACAGGAAGTAGAGGCGGGGCAATGAGAAGGCTAGGGAGGAGGAAGCTCCCTCTGCCATTCCTGCCCAGATCACCAAAGAAGCAACATGTGAGCTGACATATGGCTACATAGATCAGAATAATGGGTTAATATAAGTTACAAGGGCTAATAAGAAGCCTAATCTAATGGGCCAATCAGTTTATAATCTTATGGAGTCTTGTGTGTGATTTTCCTTGGGACTTGCCGGTTGTGGGGTACCGGGTGGGAGAGAAACCCCAACAAGCCGGCCCT